GACTCGACCATGCTGCATCTCGGGGCGAATCACATTCACATATTCAGAGCCTACTTGGATGTTCATAGCATTTTTTGCTTCAAGCCTTTTTTGGGCCTTACCCCATAGCTCTTATTTGACCTTAAGGAGTCGAGACCCACAATACAGTGGATATGGGAACAGGACCTAGCCTATCCAGCCTTTCTTTATAAATCAAACCTTCCTTACCCAGCAACATCATGGTAAATCTCTTCTGAACCTTCTCCAACTTAATAATATACTTTCCATAACTGGACGACCAGAACTGGACACAGTATTCCAAAAGAGGTCTCACCAGTGTCCTATATAGCCTCAACATGACTTTCCAACTCCTATACGCAAAGGACTGAGCAATGAGGCAAACTTATCAAATACCTTTTTAACTGGCCTGTCTACATGTGACACAAACTTCAAAAAGTTATGTACTTGAACCCCCACGTCCCTCTGTTCTACAACACTACCCAAGGCCCTACCATTAATTGTATAAGCCCTACCCTTGTTTGTTGTACCAAACTGCAACACCTCGCATTTATCCAGACTGAACTCCATCTGCCATCTTTCAACCCATTGACCCATTTGATCAAGATCCCTTTGTAATTTTAGAAAACCTTCTTCACTGACTACTCTGCCACCAACTTTGGTGTTTCCTGCAAACATACATGTCTCAGTACTAATGGGTGGGAGTGCAGAAGCTTCCATGGCAGATCACTGCTAACATCTGCAGCGTCTAGTAACAGGCCTTATCGCAAATGAAGCCGGTTATCACACATTGCCTTTGTCTAACAAGGTGCCTACCATCAAACCCCAACTCTTGATGATCCCTTGTAACTCCATGGTCTTTTTAATTAGAAAACTATGCTTTAAAATAAATGGGCAGATCATTACTCCAGCAGAGGTATCAGGCTCACAGTATTACTGTGCCATTTAGTGCAGACACAAAAACATGAAGCTTGTCATGGTTGTCAGGAGTCCTCTGTCAAAACAACAGAGATAGTCTTTGGTTGGGGGTCCAGGCACAGTAAGTCAAAGGCAGCTTCTGATTCCAGGTCAGAGGCCTGGACATGGTCAGTCGGGGCAAAGTCAGCTACACCTAAGCAGTGTCAGAGTCTGGATCCTATCCTTATAAGGGGTGAGGAATGAATGTTGGACAGCCTAACACCCATCTTGACTCGACATTATTATGATCTGTATTCCTCCTGGAATAAGAAAGAGGCAGGTTTTAAGGGAGATGAAAGTGGTTGGCACAGCTGTTACTATAGGTGTAGGTGGGGAGGTGTCCTGACCAAGTGGTTAGGCAGTACAGAAAACATGCAGGGTTAATGGTGTTCGGGTGAAGAGCATGTTGACAAGACAAGTGAGAGCCGTAGATTATGACCCTTTGTGGGAGATGGGTATGATATCAGAGTAGAGTGACTGCGAGGTACTGGACAGAATATGAAGTCACTTACACTGGTGGAGTGCAGGTTCTTCCCATGTTTATGTGCATTCTTCCAGACAGCTGAGACTGCACTGACCCAGGTGGCAACCTGGGACCAGGCAGGCATGGTTTGGTATCATGAGCTTTTCTGCTAGTCCTGGGGGAAGAAGACATCCTGTCTCTGCAACACCCTGTGCATCAAGACTGCAAAGGCCCTTTTGCAAGATGAGGTTCAAATTTTGCCATGCCTGCCATATCCAGGGCAAATGTCAGGAAACGTGCTGGGCAGCTACAGACTAATAATAGCCTTTAAAGATGGTGTCAGGATCAGGGACAAAAACAAAGTTGCTGGTAAACCTCAGCAGGTCTGGCAGCATCTGTGAAAGAAAAAACAGAGTTAATGTTTCAGGTCCAGTGACCCTTCCTCATCAGGGATGCTGACCCATTCTAAGCTATCCAAGCAGTGATGAGTTGTTCTGGTTATGGCAAGTGGTAAAATGGGGCTCGAGTCGGATGAGAGGGCTAGAGAATGTACTTAATGTGGTAAGTTTGGTAAAATGCAGCGGGGAACTCGAGTGGCCTCACGGAGAAAAACTCTCCATGAATCTAACAATTAGTATAGAGGAACAGCTCACACAAAAGACAACTTCATTGGTGAAACATGTAATTGCTTACGTGTTTATTTCATTGGAAACCTTTGCGTAGATTTTCTACTGATTTTCTGATCTTTCACAGTGACTTTGACACAGTCCTGCCATTTTGTTCTGACTAAATCCTTGGATTGAGGGTACAATACCTTGCAGGTAAAATATCTCAAAATTATTTGTGATTTGATTTGTCTCTTCTGGCCAGGTCATCTATAGATGACTGAATGACAATCAGTAACTTCAAATTGCAATTAATAGATCTTCAAATCAATGGTTGCTGAATGGCAGGCAGTCTAGATCACAAGCTTCCTACTGAACATTTCTTCATCTTCTGTGCTTAACAGCCTTCTCATACCCTCACCTTACAGCTGCTGTTAAAGTTGTCCATCATTTTATTCGTCATCTGACTGCAGCCATTATAGGCTTTGGAAAATGCATACACTAATGACAATTATGTCACGGTCAGATGATACTGATATCAGAGCAGCAGAGAAGAAATATGAAGGAATACCAAGAGTCCATGTGGCTCTGAAGAAATACTGTACTATTGAACTGTATTAATACCTTTGTGTGAATAGAGCTTACATTACGAGAGAGAGTGACTCTTACTCCATATTAAGAACAGCTACACAGTACAGCAGAGACACCCACGCCAGAGAACTTTGTGTAACAGAGCAAGTTTACTATAGGGTTCTTAGAAGCTAAGAACCCAGCACAAAGCACTAACAGTTCAACACAGCTACTCATGATATGCTGCATAAACAGCCAAGGAAATAATTTGGCAAAGAATTCTGTCCTGAATTCCCAAAGCTTTTTAAGAGAAAAAGGCAAGGTGCTGGTTATACCTGGCCTTGATGCACTATCAAGGACAACAGTGGGTTAGGCCGAGAAAGAAAATTTAATCCTCGGTGTTGAGGCAGACACACTTACCACCGGAATTACCAGTACGTTAGAGGCTACAGAGATGAAGCTAAGAGAAATGCATGCAGCTCAGAAAGCAGATGAGGAGGGCACAAAGATCTTTGTCCAAAAGGTCCAGATATTGTCCAACAGATCAAGTTCTGAAGACGTAACATGTACATAAGCAGCATTTAACTGTATCCAGCATTTAACACTCATAGATGGCCTTCTGGTTTGTGACCACAGTTTGGTGACATCAGAGTCCATGAGGGAAGAAATCTTAAAACAACATAATGGTGGGCATGAAGTAATCACAACATGTAGAGCAACAACTCAGCAATCAGTCTGGTGGCCAAACATTTTGAAAGAAATAGAGGACAGAATCTTACCAAGCTCTGTGAGGTGGGCTATGGTGTGATGAGTGGTAGAATTGGGTGAGATATTGGCAATGCACAACTTAATGTCAAGATTATCTCAGCACATCTTGTGGCATGGTGAGATTCTCACTAGGTAGCAACGAGTTCCCAATTGACACTCAACATTGATTGTTAAATGCCTTGTTAACTGCCCAACCTGCCACGGATTGTGATTTTACAAAATTTTGTCAAGCCATCAGAACAACGCAACATGGAAACCAGAGTGGATTCTTGGTCGGTTCTTCTTTATTCATTCATAGGATGAGGAGCGTCACTGGCCACGCAGCATTTATTGCCCATCCCCAGAAGGCAGTTAAGAGTCAACCACATTGCTGTGGGTCTGGAATCACATGTAGGCCAGACCAGGTAAGGATGGCAGCTTCCCCTCCCTAAAGGACATTAGTGAACTGGATGATTTTTCCGACAATCTGCAATGGATTCACAGTCATCGTTAGATTCTTAATTCCAGATATTTTATTGAATTCAAATTCAACCATCTGCCATGGCAGTATTTGAATCCAGGTCCCCCGAATGGTATCTGGATCTCTGGATTAACAGTCCAGTGATAATACCACTATGCCATCACTTCCCTTATCTAAACACGTTGCTTGATCCAGAAGACCTCCATGTTGCCCACAAACAAACTATAAGGCACAATTCACCAGCACCTTAGCACCGCTGCCACTCAGCTCCAGGGTCCTGGGTTCGATTCCAGCCTTGGGTGACTGTGTGGAGTTTGCATGTTCTTCCTGTGTCGGCGTGGGTTCCCTCCGACTGCTCCAGTTTCCTCCCACAGTGCAAGGATATGCAAGTTAGGTGGATTGGCCATGCTAAATTACCCAAAGTGTCCAGGGATGTGCAGGTTAGATGGATTAGGCTGGGAAATGCAGGGTTATGGGGTTAGAGTGGGTCTGGGTGGGATGCTCTTTGGAGGGTTGTTGTGGACTTGCTGGGCCAAATGGCCTGCTTCCACACTGTAGGGATTCTATAACTTGATTACATGTATTTTCTTTTCCATAAGAATGACTAGACTAAGAGTAGATTTGAAGGGAAAGTACAGTGTACAAACCACTACAACACCGAATACTGGCCAATATTGAATATTAACTAATATATTCAGCACTGAAACAATCCATTATTAGTGCTCCATACAAACATCTCTCCACCATTTTATTATATTTCTTTCTCCCTTATCGGTTTTCCTTGTTTCTTCTTCGACTGTAGTTGCCTCAAACACTCTGTGTGGTAACAGATCTGACATTCTAAACACTCTAGGTAAAAGACATTTCTGCTGAATTCATTGTTGGACTTCTTAGTAACTATTTAATGCTTCTGACCCAAGTTTTGGTCTCCCCAAAAGAGGAAACGTCCTCTTATCATTCATGCTCCTTCGCAATTTGAAAGAACTGGGTCTCTGTTCAGTTTTGTCCATTCTGAGGAAACAGCCCCAGCCTATTTAGTCTTTGCCAATAGTCACAATGTCCTAATTTTGATGTCATCTTTCGGAATCTTTTCTATTTTCTTCAGAGCCCCTGCAATATTTTTGCAAAATGAGGACCTGCATTGTAACATAGTAAAGACGAAGCAAAACCTGTATCTTACCTTTCTCGTTAAATCTGCTTTGAATGTGTTGAATTCGATCTTTTATTAACGGACGAATGTTATGCAAAGCCCAAGGAGAGTGCGAATCGTTCAATAGGATCACATTAACTGTAAACAAATCTTTGGTGCATTTATTATAGGAGTTCAAGGTTAAATTCTCAGGGACTGCAACTATGATCCACAAACAGAAACTTAACAATCGCCTCATTTCCCCGCTGTATTGTTAAAACACTTCAATCGTCCTTCTCTCAAACTTTGAAGAGTACAGGAAGTGCACCCGCGAGGTACATTAAAATGTCATCCTAAAGCTTTCCTTCTGAGATATTATATGAGGCTGAGTGCGAAGGTCAGCTCATATAAAATGTTGTTTGCTCAATAGAAGTTCAGTGGTTATAGAACGTTCACAGTTTATACAGCATGGGTTCCTTTGAATTAAGAAAACGGACAGCTCTTTAAAAGGCACTGTACCAAAAGTCTGGTGAAGAATTGGCAACAGAAACACTGCATCACGTTGTAATTGACCAGCGACAATGAATTACCAGTCAGATGCGCAAGTGTCCCCATTGTTCCCGGCTACCTGGGAGGGATGTGGAGCAGAGGGGCCTGGTTGTAAATCGCTAAGCTGGGATATCACTTTAGGAGGGAACATGCAAATAAGCAAGTAACCAGGATGTAAAACGTGTCTAATGGCCAATCCAGAATCTCGTTATAGATTCGATTGTGCAGCTGTGCTTTTCTGTAAGAAATCTGACTGATGTGCAATCCTGTAACATATCTTTAAATAAGCAAAATCTGTACCTAGTTTCCCAGCCATGGTGGTAAGAGTAGCAAGTTTGTGTAAGCAAACATAGAACTATAGCAGATGTGATCACAAGATATTGAAGTTTCAAATTGACTCCTTATAAAACATTTCATCATTAAATCATTGGGCCATGAAGCCTTTGGAATGCCACATTAAAGGAAGTTATTGAACTAAAAGACAGGACTCGCATGGCAACAGCACTCTTCAAGACCTCAACATGACCATTAGAAAAGACTGAAAATTTACCTGCACGCTTATCAGAGACATGGGAATAGGAGAGGGACAGGACTTTTGGTATTTTGAGATGGGCTGGATTGAATTTATGTTTGAAAACTGAAAGGGGAATAAAATTAACTGAGGATCTTGGAGAATGACAGCACAAAACAGGTGTCACAGAAATCAAGCTGCTTAATCTGCAATGTGAGGGACAAGACTTTAGCTTTCAGACACAAGATAAAGGAAGAAGGTGATTGTGACTTGTGAAGAGGAAAATTGTAGTACACCATAGACACTGCAGCATTATATGCAAAGCTACAAAAAGCTGGGATGAAAGTACAAGGTCCTGTTTCTTAGGCAAAGCATTTCGGTAGCGCTCTGCAAAAGGTAAGGAACATCTGACAAAAGTACTGTCCCCAATTCACTCTGTATTATCTCTCTATAGGAGTTCCAGACTGATGTTGGAAGGGACCTAATAGGTTGTCTGTCTATCTTTGTGGCCTCAAGGCTTTTATTTCCTTAGAAGACTTGAGAAAAGGAAAACGAAGGAGTGTTTCGACAATATGCAAAGGAGAGCCGCAGCAGCAAAAGTTACTCCACGAAGCTGGTGGCATCATTAAGGTTTGAATTTTTTTTCCTGACAGCATTAACTTGTGCTGACAGCAGAAAGAAAATATCAATCCTCCTCCCACTTTCAAATGTACCATGATCAACACAACCTGCCATTGGATTAACACTTACTTTAAATTACCAATACATTGTACTAGAGTTCACTTTAAGTATTCTCAACATTCTATGTAGTTAAGTCTGAGAAGCAGCAAATACTATATATCCAACCAATAGTCAGCTTTAAAGTAGTAGATTGATTCACATTTATTTCACAGAAATAGTAAGATAGACCATGGTACAAATGAAGAGAATCACTCTTTGAGGCATTCAAAATAATTTTCTGACATATTTGGATAATTTGCTGGATCTTTGGGATAAACCATTTTTTCAATATACGTAATGTTGTCATAAATCACAAGTTGAGCAATGCAGGCAGTGTTTTTATGGCATTGATATTCATATTGAGGTACTGAAGGGCAGATAACCAGTGACTCCTGTCGCTGTGCAGTCTGACTGGGCACTCAGTGATAAGGCTGATTATACCTCCAGTTCTGTACTTAAATACCCATATTGTGAGACTCCCTATTTGCAATGAAGCCTCACAATTTCTGTCCTTGACCACCTTATCATAGATCTCTTGATCTTATCCAATGGCTGACCAAGCTCAGCCTATTCCTGTTCCTATTTCTTCTAGTCTTATGATCTCTACTTGTGTTTCCATCAGTAGATATTCAGACATGAAGAAATACAGAGGGCATATAAAACCAAAAGCACACAAAGCACAATTTTCAGCACCATGGGATTTTTGATATTACTTTTCGATAGTCCACATGACTGAGGGAGTGAGGGTGGTCATTCATCTGGTTATATATTAGATAGCCCAGATTTCAGGTAACCTGTCCTCTATCCAATACCTGAGTTGAATTGGACACCATGTTGTCCAGTATTTTAAAGTGCCTTTTGCTCCAACATCTATCTAAATTCAAAATGAATTTCTCCTCATGCCACCCTCACAAAGAATTTAGCATCATCGAAGCAAGAAAAATGGGAGGGGAGTTCTGGCCATATTCTGAGGTGAGTTGTGGTGGAAATGTTTGTATGAGTGTGTGCAATGGGGAAATGACTGACTAGCCATTTTGTGTGTCCTTTATGATTCCCTAACACTATCTCACAACATCATACAGGCTGACTAATACACATTGCATACTGCTCTCAACCAAACTGATGCATTGATGTCTGAGGACAGAGGGCAAAAGAGTCACTAGGGCAGCCTGGTGAAAATCACCCAATTTTTCCCTTAACCTGTTTAGCTCCTCCAGCTGGTGTATGAGCTTTACAGGTTTGGTTAAGTCTATGTATTGTGTTTAAATATTTTGTGTTAATATGTGTGTGCCAAAAAGAATTGGCAGGGGTATTTGACATTCTTGAGGTCCATTAGTGGCCATGCAGTGGGAGCCAAGGACATACATGTTTTCTAGAAATGTGCTGTTCTACCCCATCAGCATAAAGTTGGTTCAAATTTATGTGACATATGGCCCATTTAACCTCACCTTCACCCATTTTTCTAAGGCAATACTGAACTGTTTCCTGAGCAAGGCTAGAATGTCCTCCTCAACCACTCTTCCTGATAGACCCATTCCACTTGCTGGTTACCCTCTGTCTAAAGAAATCACTCCTGGAATCCAACAGTACTCCCAAATATTTGCGCACATTTGTAAGTTCTTCTTATCTTAATCCAGACTTTGTTGGTTTCTGCAGTTCACTCTATTCTCTCTTCAGGTTCCAAGATGGTGGCGCCAGCAAGATAGGCAGCATTTGGACTCCTGGCCTCGTCCACTCCAGGCGGCCACTTCCTCCCCCTTTTCATTACCCTTTCTGTCTTCTTTCTTTTTCTTTTTCTTTCTTCATTTTCTTCCTGTTGGCAGTGGCGGAGAAGGTAACATTGCTGAAGAGAGCAGCCGGAGCAGGTTTCTTGACAAAGTGGCAGCCTGGCCTGATGGCAGACCCAGTGACTCCTTGTTATTGGTAGGCATGGAGCAGGAACTCCAGGTGTCATCGAGGCAGTGGCAACGGAGCCAGAGACTCCTGGTTGCGGTAGGCCCAGAGTGGGGACTCCTGGTTATCGGTGCGGCAGCGGTGGCAGTTCCTGGTTGTGGTAGGCCCAGAGCTGGGGTCACCTGGCTATTGGTGAGGTGGTGGCAGTGGCCCTGGTTGCAGGGCGAGTGTGGGTCCAACATTGGCCCCAAATCGGCGGCCTGACGGCGAGGTGGAGTCAGAGAAGAAGAGTGGCCTGAAGAGTGGTGACTCCGACACTAGTGGCGGCATGTGTTTTGTCGGTCAGCCAGCTCAGGGCTCAGGACTCAGGACACATGGTGGAGGCAGTGGAATGAAGATGGACTTGCTTTCAGATTTATCTTTTTATTCTTGAAAATATTCAAATGGTGCCAATTGTGATGACAGTTGAAACTTTTCACTGCATTTTACCGTGTTGTTCATTGTACAGTACAAGTGACAACTAATTGTTATTCATCTTGTAGTTAGGCCACAACATTTTCAGGGAACACAAGTCATGAAATACAGAGAGGAAGCAGGGAGGAATACAGAAAAGCAGGAGGAACAGCATAAGAATTCTTGAGGGCAAGAGTGTCATGCTTGGAAGAGGACTGTCAGTGGTGGGTCAGAGGGATTGAGGAACTGATGTGAAAGGAGCAGAGGGAATAGTTTGGAGGACATACAGCAGAAAGAGAATGACAAAAGTTGAGTGAGTCAAGGGCCAAAAGCGACATTACAGAAGCTGAATATTGCAGGAAAGAATGTTCTTGAAGATTTTCATCTAGCATTCATTAGGACAAACACGAGAATGCCAAATTTCAAACCATCACAATATAGGAGAAAGGATGCTGATTGGTTGACAAAGTTGACTTTGCACTTCAGTGTCCTGATGAATGCAAGATGAAACCTTTTTTCTTCAGTAATATTCAAGTAATATTATTCAGTAATATTCCAGAGCATGACTTACACAGTTAATTGTAGGGCCTTGGGGAATGTTGTCGAACAGAGAGATCTAGGGATGTAGGTATATAGTTCCTTGAAAGTGGCATCACAGGTAGACAGGGTGGTGAAGAAGGCATTTAGCACACTTGCTTTTATCGGTCACAGCATTGAGTACAGGAGTTGGGACATCATGATATGGCTGTACAAGACACTGGTAAGGCCACATTTGGAGTACTGTGTACAATTCTGGTTGTCCTGCTATAGGAAGAATGTTATTAAACTTGAAAAGGTGCAAAAAAAATTTACAAGAATGTTACTGAGACTGTAAGGTTTGAGTTATAAGGAGAGGCTAGATAGGCTGGGACTATTTACCCTGGAGAGTAGGAGGCTGAGGAGGTAACCTCAGAGGTTTATAAAATCATGAGGGGCGTGGATGGGTATTTTTCCCAGGGTAGGGGAGTCCAAAACTAGAGGGTATAGGTTTAAGGTGAGAGGGCAAAGGTTGAAAATGGACTTGAGGGGCAACTTTTTCACACAGAAGGTGGTTGCACATAAGGAATGAGCTGCCAGAGGAACTGGTAGAGGCA